CCTACTGTGTACACACTGAACCTGTGCATGTTTGAGTTCCATATAGAAACTACATGCTCACCAGTGACTGTGGGCATTTGTGCACATTTGTGCTGTAAAACCAAAGGAGGGGTTAAGGTTGATGCAATCATTCTTAGCTTATTTTCAACCCGTCACGCTGCGTTTTGAAGCCTGTTGGGGTTATCAAATAGATCAGAATTGTAGTTCCTGCTCATTTTTGTGGGTTTCTGTTGAATTTCTAACCTGCTGATTGGTTTTTCCTTACTTGTGAACCTGCAGTTTTTGTCTTTTCCTCGTGCTCACGTGTGCAATACTTATAATCAGTGAAATCAGAGAACTTTGACGCCCAAATGCACCGAGTGCTCAAAAATGTAAACATGTTCTTGTTGAGAAGTTAAAATAAGTTGATGTTTGTTATCAGAGAGAGATCTTTTTAGAAATAGATTTTCAACCTTTCTTTCTTTTAACTATGACCCCTCAGCCTCAAGATGAGAATCCATAGCCACTGCCAAAAGTATCTTTTTACGTCTTTAGGCTATCAACATGCCACTGCCATGAGTCTGCTACGAGGAACCAACAGTAGATTATTAACCATTTGCTTGTTTGTGGTACCCTCATTGTCCAGGTGGCCCCCTTGCTGAAGGCTTCCAGGCCAGGCTCTTTTCCTTTGAAAACTTTGAAAGAAAGTTTGAGGTGAGGCGGTGCTGGCCTGTATGTCCATGATCCGTAGTCACCAGTTTTCATTGCAGTGGTCACTGGACAGTTGATCGCCATATTGCTTCTAACATTACAAAGGGTCCTATGAGTGTACACTTACGCTCAATTGATTGGATTGATCAGGGATTTGAATCTGTTGTTGCATTATTGCGTACCAATTTAGGAAATAATAATATTACCCAGTGTTAGCCTCACATTCTTTAACCCTAACAGTCCCAAATCCTCCAATATTAATACAATTTTACATACACCCTTGGGGATAAGGTTAAGTAACCTGTTACCAATTCTTTCACCAAACCCTACTTAAATGGTATTTTCCAGAAAAATCTTGAACAAAGGTTCTGCAGTTTTCGTTGCAAATTTGACGAGACATCTACAGTATTAAAGATTGACATTCTGTCAGGATCATGAGTACATACTCAAACAAATAAGCTATGTGGAACTTGGTTAAGTTCTACAGGGCTGACACTGTTGCTGTTTGCTCCTCAAATATGTCCCCACTTCTGACAGAGAGAGAAGTGAACGTACAGAGACCATGGTTAACAGTACATGTGTTGGTCCATGCTTTTTTTTTTTTCAGGAGTGCATATCGCACTCTGCCGTCGTGACTAAGTTTGAGCAGCACGCCAAGCAGGGCAAGCAGATTGCCGCCTGCACTCAGGACATCCTGGACGAGGCCCTACAGCAGTCGTCCAAGAAGAGGTAAGCATTGACCAGGGGGTCATGTCTCGGAAGCTGCTAAGCTGAGGATGTTACTCGGCAAGTTCAGATGCGCAAAAAAAAAATCATTCAATAAGCGGTCATAAGCATTGTACATTATGTGCCAGTTAGGTTGGTTACTTGTGTTTACTTACGGAAGTATATTCCACACTTACCAGATTAAAGAATTATCCCAGTTGGTTGTTTTATGAGTTGCCTGTTTTGATCAATATTTAATGAAGCTGCTGAAGCCATGACGATGTTACTTGCTTTACTATTGTTATTGCTTCAGACAGGTTCAGCTTTGGAACTAAAGAAACTTTTGTTTTCCTATATAAACTGGATAACATGTCACCACTCAAAAGTGAAGTCGGCTCTGTTATCTTTAAACATGGTATCTTTGTATAAAATCTTATTGTTGCCTGTAATTCTTACACTGTGTTTATATCTTCGCTTGTCTAGGGCAACGTGTATTGAGAAACGCAAGGAGCAGACGGATCGTCTGCAGTACGTCACCACCCAGCTGAAGTTACTGACTGGAGAGTGCAAAGACAAGATCAAGGACATCGCTGAACAAGCTGAAACAAAGGTAACGTACCTCCAAGGACTGTTGTCTGTTTAACCATGTCTGCGTTTATGTACCCTTTAGTGACCAAAGTGGATAGGACTAGAATGCCTGTAGTGCTGGGAACTGCCAGGATTTTCAATCTTCATTTTCATAGCAAAGCAAATGAAATTGTGATTGGTATTTAGTATTTATACATTGAGAAAGACTGAAATTAAACAAACACGTAAAACGAAAAAATCAAAGTAAAAAAAAATATGTTGAAATATGTAGAAACAGCATAGAATGTCAATGACATCTGTTGGCAGTGGTGGAGTCTCAAATCGGATTGTTTATTCAGAGAGTCTAGAAAAATCTTATCTCCCGTAATCTTGCACAGGAATAGTTACTGTAATTTAAAAAAATGTTTCGTTTCAGGATTAAGCATTTTTGTTTTTCTTGTCATTGCTCCGTTGCTAAATGTTTTTTAATTCTTTTCTCTGTTTTTTCTTGGGGGGGTGATGGTTGTAGGTGTCTGCTGCTATGACAGATGAGATCAGGAAGTTGTCGTTGCTCGTTGATCAGTTTGACCGGACCTTCCAATCAGACCCACTCGTCATCAAGGTCTACAAAGAGGTGAGTGGCGTCAGTTCATGAAAAGAACAATTCTTGAAGTGTTCAATGGAGTTGTAGATGACACATTATAATTACAATTGTTCTCCTATCTGGACTCTGTTTCACTTAAGCAGAGTGGTCATTTTTGCTGTATGCTGCTAAAATATCTTTCAAACAGATGTGTAGAAAAACAGCCTCAGCGGAAATTGTGTTGATCGAAAATTGACACCCATTTCTGATCATGTGGCAAATCCAATATATCTCCATTTTCACTTACAGTTTTTGAAATGTTCAGAAAAAATGGTCCCCTTCTCACAAATAATGTAGTTATAGCTACTTAGTATAAGCTTAACTGTCTTGGCTTTTTTCATGAAACTTGTAACAGTCCAATATTGAGAAACTAATCAATGGATTGGAATCATTTATTAACTGTAGCACAGCTTAAAGCAATATTTGATAGACTAGACACTATGGAATCATTCACACTCCTTTAACCCTAACCTTCCCTGACCCTTCAAATCCACCAAGGCGTAGACGATTTTGAGGATGGAAGAAGATAGAGCCAAATCCCTGTTACTTTGCAAGGGGCTTGATGCCCCCTTTAAGTTTAAACGAGAAGCATGTGCCATTGTTTCCTGCACAGTGGAGTGTATTGCAGGAATCAGGAATGTTTCTACCAAGACTACCATGGACATTAGGGTTACCAAGCAAAACGGAAGACTCAGTAAGACTCAGTAACAGCACGAGTCATTCTCAGCACAAAGACCACAGGACACAGGGAACAAATCTTTATGCCCAATATGTAAAAAACAACAATGTGACAGCCCTTTTTTGATCTAACTTATCCGGTTCGTAAGTGACTTCGTCACAAAGGTGGACGCGCCACAATTTGCAGGCTTTCATTGGACAATTACTGAAGTTGTGCGTTAACTTCCGGTTCCATAGTTCCATGTAAACGGCGATCAATGCATGTAACCCTATATGCAGTGCACGTGTGCAGTGGTAGTGGTTGAAATTGAAGTGACGTCACACTTACGAACTGGATTGACTGTTAAATGAGGAGGATGCTGCTTTGATGACATTTCAGGAAGATTGTGTTCATTTTGGGAGTTTGATTTAAAACTGTGAACCCAAAGTATCTTATGTAAAATATCGATTAGAAAACTTTGCTCAGTGGCAAATAACAATGACTTACTGATGCCAAGAAAATATAATACTTTAAAGTATCCGAAATGCAGGCAAACTTGAGTGCAGAAACAGCTGCAACATTGAGGTTTCATCCTGAAATGCTACACATGTTTGCTCATAAATATGCAAATAAATATCGGCGTAAAGATAAGAAAGACTCAAAAATCCCTGAAAAGGTGAAAACTGAAAAGAGGCTATAACTGAGACACAAAGTTGTATTTATTTTTCAAGGACTGTGTCAAAAATATTTTTTACATCGCCTGTGCCCTTTAAACAGGAGTTGCAGAAGCACCTGGAGGCAGGCCTTGGGCGTAACTTGGATGCTAGATGCACATCAGCTGTCATGCAGGACGTACAGCAGGTGCAAGAACAGATGACAGGTGGGTGGCGCAATGCATTAGACTGCATATAATGACCTGCTCAGTTAATATGCGTCCTAACTTGGCAGACATATTTCTATGTAGTCGGCTTGCTACTCTTTAATGTCACATAAAGGTGCTTGTCTGAAGATGGCAGTCAAGAGTCCATCACAAGCCATGTGGTTTTATGTCTCAATTTCTGGAGTAAATCATGATGGGGACAGTTCTTCATGAATGGATTCAACTTGGAATTCGCTTGTAATCTGGTTTTATTAGGATCCAGCTACAACCGATGGCAACTCTTCATATGCCACTCCAAGGCTTGGGCAAATCTTGTGAGAAAATCTTTTTCGCAGCAGGTTTCATGTTTAACTGGAAATTTTATTTGTACATGTTGTAAATTTTTTTGTTATACAGTTTAAAAAGAGGATTAGTTTCAGTTCCGATTCTGTGTTCTCTGTCCAGTCTGGGGAAGTAAATCCAGGAATAGCAGAATATCTTTTTTTATTTCAAATTTCCAGTTCAGTTAAGAGTGTGCTTGTTTACGTGCTGTCAAATGCCCTTCTGTCTCATCAGAGTACACTTACATCTGTGCTATTTAGCTGCATGTACAGATGGTCCCACTGCAGTGGGGGCCCGCGTGTGGACTGTAGTACCTATTAGCCATTTAGACGTATGGTGGTCATAATAGGAGGGTGCTGTTGAAGTGGATAAATTTAAGGCAAACATAAAGGTCGAGTTTGGGCTTCATGTTCTTGAGACAGGTTTCTTGTTGTCACGCTCGAACGGCGGGAACATGACTCAAGAAACTGTTTTTGGATTAGGATCACACACAACCTCCTTTTCAGGGTTCTACTCGAACGCACGGAAAAACTAGTGAGATTTTGATTTTTTAACAGCTGCAAAAAATAGAGTGATGGCTTACAAAGTTGGAGACAATAGGAAGTTTTGCAAATTAACATTAATTATTTTCCATAACACAGAAGTGAATGCTCCTGTTTAAATACAAAAGAAATCAGCCCAGTTAGCCAAAAATTAACTCTCAAATAAAATACATAGACGCCGCCATGTTGTATGTTGTTTGTCACTAACTACCAGCGATAACCAGAACTTTGTACATTCCCGGCATTCGAATGGCCAACCCAAGAACAACAAATCAAGGTGTTTATGAACATACGAGAACAAGCCACCTGAACTCAGCCAAAAGATTTTACCCAAACCAAATAGCGCCCTCCTATTGTGTCCGCCATGCTTCTAAAAGCCTAATGGTGTGCCACATTTTTGGGGTCCTGGTGAGTAGGCTACCTTGGTATTCGTTTCTTTGCTTTCCTTGACAGAGAGTATGTCAGCTCTGCTTCCCGATGAGACCAAGGACCAGGTCAGCCGACTCCTCTTCCGGCGAGACTTTGGTCCCAGCTACCGGTTGGAATGCCAGAACCTCTTTGCCGACTTCTCTGAGAATGTGGAGTTTCGATTCTCTCTGGGTTTCACGGCACTCATGAATCGCTTCCTAGGGCCAAAGAACACGCGGGTTGCCATGGCTGGCTTTGCCAATGTGGTAAGCCGAAAGGACCTCCAGTGAACTACTGATATGAGGAATGAGTTAGAATTAAAGGGAAGGGTTTGCACAATCATCAATTTCGTCATCGTTTTCACAAAGAGGCGAATTTCTCACCAGAGGGTGAAACCTAGGTTTTGAGAAAATCACATCTGAAGTTGGTCTCTTTTCCAAACACTTATTTCCCCGGTATTTAGCATGCCTTTGACTTAACCAATGCTACTTCATGAAAGGGGATCTGAAATGACACAAAAATACCAAATGATATTCCTAGAAGTCAATTAACCCTAACCCCCCCCCCAGGGTTGCTGGCCCTAACCTTCCCCATTCACACAAAGTTAAACACCTCTATGATTTGGGGCCAGAGTATTTCTTTGTGAACACGGTGACGATATGTTAAATAAAACACGCCATGTAGTGTTATTGGGAGTGAAGCTATTGGTTAATTCTTCCCTGATCCTTAACCTGTTGGATGATTGAGGACTGTTAGAGTTTATATGTGAATGTTACTGCAGGTTTTTTCCTTGTGGCTGAGTTGACCAAATTCATTCAAAAGCACATTTTCATAATTACAGTTTTGCAGTGAATTGAGCCGTTCAGTTATTGCTTAAGAGCAACAGGATAATTCAAATCTTTCCTTTTTTGAGATTCCAGTTTATTTTTCAATTTCTTTGAGTGGTTTGCATTTCAGTTTTCATGGAATTCATGTAGGTCAGGATCCACCTCAATTCAATTATTGTATTGCTACCTTCAAAATTAGTAGTTCTCTTCTGCCAAGTATGATTCAAATATTGTTTTATCTGTAGTTTCCTTGGCATAAAACATCTACTTCCATTGCTATTCCGCCTGCATTGCATATTGGATGTTACACGCTGCACACCAGGCTAATGCAAGTAGCCAATTGTTTCCCGGGCTGGTAATAGACAAGTTGGAAGGGGCAGGGTTGAAGTGGCTCTTTAACAAAAATAGAAGTACCACAGACCTGCAGAAATTATACCAGTTGGAATCACGGACTAGTCAGGATTTTTTCAGGGTACATGTAAAAATCAAAAATTTCTCCTCACTTTTGGTGCAGATCCCTCGTCCCTTAGCAGCTGCTGGAGCGGAAAGTGGGGCCCGAGGCCAGGAAGATCTGACGGTTGCCATGGTAACAGGATTGGCATCCCTGACATCTCGCACCTCCATGGGGCTGATGATTGTAGTTGGTATTGTGAGTATTGACATTTTTCAATTCAGGTCCTCTTCTCTCGGAACTAGATGTAAAAACTGCTTGAAGTAAACTGCTACAGACCTGTATACTTTGTTTGTTTCAGGTTCTGTCTGATGAAGCAATTAATCCCCCACTACCATGATGCCTGAATAAATTCGCCATCAATGAAAAGAGACTCTACTATGGCACTGGGATTGCGTTCATGTTCTTAGTTGCATATGCTTTTTTTGCAAGTCACAATATCCTGCTGGTTGAACAGACATAAAACTGTGGGCGCACACCTGCTAGTCACACCTGCCTACAAGCATGGTGCCACCGCAGTAATGACTTGTATATGTAATTCTGTTCACTGCATAAAGCCGCCTTTCCATATGCACATCAACACTTGCACCAAGAGTTGCGTATCCATCAAAATCGCTCCTGGGTGTTTTTTGATAGTCGAACGCAGTGCACGTGTATGTTGTGCTAATGGAGCCGATTTTTGTGTTCGTGAAAGTGAAAGGCATGAACGCATCGTGTGCGCAATGCAAGCAAAAAACGTACATATGGAAAGGCGCCTTAAGTCCGTATTCTGGCAGTGTCTTCAGTTTCTTCCTCAAGTCTGATTCCCAGGCCATTTTGCCATCCGTAAACAAGGTCTGGAAGGCTGTGGGGTGGCGCGTGCTGGCAGTAGGGGGCGGTCTGTACACACTCCTCTACATCTACGAGCGACTGACGTGGACTAACAAAGCCAAGGAGAGAGCCTTCAAGCAGCAGTTTGTCCAGTATGCGTCCGAGAAGCTCAAACTATTGGTCAACTTCACCGGATCCAACCTTAGCCACCAGATACAGCAGTAAGTGCATGCCTACTTCTGAGGATGGCGGGCATAGCCAGAGCCACGTCCAAATGGCTGGCTGCAGCTGGAAACAGCATGCCTACCTATGGAAGAACTTTGCACCCTTGCAAAAATTAGCATTGAGGGTCCAGGCATTGTATTTTTTTCTTAGACACCATTGTTTGTATCACTTTATACTCCCTTTCCGTGTACGAAAAACAATATTCAGCTTACATTTTCAAGAGTGCGCCTTTTTGAAACTACAACAGTGTTCTTTCATGGGGTGTCTGTTCAAACTGTAAACCCAGAATTGGCTTCTTAAAAACAATGCTGAGAAGTAAGAAAGGGTTGCTCATTGGCTCATTGCAGTGCATTGAAATACTCAAAGTAAAGACCAAAGTAAAGGAAATGTGGGCCAACAAAATTTAATAAAAATTCACGTACATTTGAGTGGGGGCTTCTTCCCAGGATCACATTACAGTTTTGCTCTTGAATAGGAAACTACTCGTTAGCATAAAACCTGAAAGATACCGCATTACCCTATAAAATAGCAAATCATAAATCAAAATTATGGTTAAGTAATCCACAAAGGGCATTTCAAGGCTTGTACGTAGACATTGAGTGCAGACTTTAGTTTGGAAGTGATGGGACTGAAGTGTAATTCTGTAGTTTTGATATTAAGGCCGGTTCATACTGGATACTAATAGGAACACAGATGCAATTCTTTGTCATCAGATGAAATAGTCCCGCTGCAAATTTGCACAAGTTGAACACATTTCAACTCCAACAGAGTTAACTGCAAACGTTTCATGACATCAAGTCCACTTTACTTTGCATCCGTCTGAACTGTGAACTGACTGGCCATTTTTTTTATTAGGATCAGGGCAGATAAGAGAACCAATAGAGCAGGTTGAATCTAGCATTTATTGGTTTCATCCTGATAAAGTTGTCATGCCCAAATTACCCTCACAGAGGTAAACATCCAGTAAATAGACCAGACAGTGGTCAGTGACTAATCCAAAATGGATGGACTGATCAGTTCAGGGACTTTGTGGCTCTTGACCTTGTCTAATCCTTGTCCCCAGGGAGCTGTCATCAACATTTGCCCGCTTGTGCCTGGAGGTGGACAACCACACCGACAGTCTGCGGAAGGAGCTGATCAAGATGGAGGACGAGAGCCAGAAGCTGGAGGCCATGATTGCCAGGGCCAAAGTCCTGAGGTTAGAGAAATGCACATGAACACATGACCCAGGTTTCAAAGGGCAAAGGTCATTTTCATGTCATAATGATTATAGGTTGGTTCCCCTTCATGAAAACCCATGGGAGCCGTTGATTTTTGGACTTGCTGTTTATGCAGAGCCAACCCACCCCCCGTAGAAAAATTTAAAACATGGCCCAGTTTATTAGCATCCTGTCTGCATAAGATGTAATCCAGCAAAGGTCCTCAGTAAGCCCGTTTGGTATCCCAACAGCACATGCTCAAAATGACGTGCATTATAAGCCATTTGGAAGGTCATCCTTAGTACTGTCTTATGCTGACTCGAATGCACTAAACGGGCTGGAGTTGGTTTGATGTCAGTCATTCTGTTCTTGAATAGCTTTGCCTTTCTGAAATTCTGAACTGGCTTATTCTCACAGTTGTTTTAGACGGGGTAGTGTACATATCATGGTAGTTCTCTATGTGAAAGGTATGCGATGGTTGGGAGTCATGAAATTCATGTTTCACTTTGTCTGTGCTGGTTTACGTTGTGAAGTTGAGTTGGTCCCAATCACCAAGCGTTGTGTTTTGCTCAAACAGGAACAAAGCCGGTTGGCTGGACAGCGAGTTAGACCGGTACATCCACAACTTCTTGAAGCACTGAGGAGCTGTTGGGCACCAGTGACAGTTGCATGCTTTTAGAAGAACTAGAACTTGGATCCGGACAAAAAGATCCTTGGGAATGGAGCATTGATTGTCTTACCCTGGCAAAGTTCCCAAAGCAGTAATTTTATTTGGTTTGACCTTCGACCTCAGGCCTGAGTTCAGTTCTTGGCCCAGGTTTGCACTTGGAGCCTTGAGTCTCCATTTGACTGTGTTCAATTCTTCTTGGAATTCATTCAGTTTATCTTTGGACAAAGTGTACAAAACTGGGGGGAAATATAACAAGGAGTAGTCCATAATCGAAAGGTACTTGGCTTTTAAGACATAAAGGTATTGAATTTCCCCTGAGCTGTACAGAATTTACCCTAGTTTGGATATATATATAGCTTTGAACACAATGATGTTTCTCACACTGGGATAACAAATTTCCTGAAGTGAAACTTTGGTTCCTCAGATGGAGAGATGTTGCTGAGAATCATGCATATCTAGTGGTTCTGTTTTGGGAATGTGAATTTTATTGTTCAACTGGCTTTCAGAATAATTGTAGGACCCGTGGTTGAGGGGACAGTTTTTGTCATCCGGAAATTTAAGACAGTTTTCGGGACAAAAAATCTGAGTCCCGTTGATGAATTTATCCTCGGAAATAACCATCGTTCAACTCATTTGGGGTCCCCACGGCTACAGTGCTGGTAGAAATGTACATTCCGATCCTCTGCAATGAAATTGTGAATAATTCAATTGATCAATTGAAACCCAAAGAGTTAAAAATCCATTACATACCATTTCAATTAAATTGAATCATTCTTTACGTACACTGTACATGGTGCACATGGCCCATCATTATCCCCAGATGCGTCCCTACACTGTCATCCTGCATTTACTATGTACTTTAAGGAAACCCTCAACGTATTGTCTTATTCTAAAAGTTTGGAAGTGGACTTTAGCATCCCATTTCTGAGCATGGCAGGCAGTCTGTGATCTATTATACTAATGTAGGGAAACTGTTGATGGCAGTGTGTGGTTGAAACACAAGCCAAGAAGGAGCACATTCCATGGTTGCACCAGTTTGCATGTGTGTCACACAGTGCAGGTGACTAATTTTCAGTTGAATGTGCATAAACTGTAGCACAGGCAGGCAACAGAATTTGGCCAAGATGTACTGTATCTGCAGGAACTTACTTGGGTCATGTTTATTTAATACAAGCATATGTTCTTTACAATATGACATTTACCCCCTCATGCCACTGTATTTTTTCTTATTTTTGAATATTGAATTCACATCTGGAAATGCTAAATATTATTTGCAAAGAATCTGTCAATTTTAATGTTGTAAAACTATCAAAGTTCCCTAGTTTTTCAGTGAATTTCAGTCTGGTGAAAAAAAGTGTTTTGTCTATTTTTGTCTTGCCATTGTTTCAGTGTGAAGGGCGTTTAGTCTTGTCAGCTTAGCCTGTCATTGTGTGTGTTTATTCTATAGGTTGCTTTATATACCAACAGTGGTTAAATGTTTCACTTAACACATTCAAACAAGTGAGGCCCTAATTCGGTGGTGTTGTACTCCAAATTTGTTCGCATATATGCCTTGACTTGTATGTCAGGATATTAACCGAGAGGATGGAAAAAGGTGGATTTCTGTAAAGAATTCAGATGTGAAGTGAATACCGATTATTTCTTTGCAGAAGAGTGGCCAGTCCGTGATGTTGAAAATTCCAAGCACACGATTTACTTGATGCACAGGTGGTCCTCTAATGCCAATGTGTATATCATATACTCAGTTTTAATTTTAACGGCAATGACCTTGCATTATCACATGATATTTGTTTTTACTGTGCACAGTTTATGTATGTGCATTTTGGTCTCTGGCTTCAGGTTTTTTTAGTTCACCATTTGCCCGTCCAACTTCAGCTGGGACATTAACATACCCTTTGACATATGCAGGATTCCGCATGTATGTAACAGTTGCAGGAAGTCGATGAAATTTCGGGTAAAAGCTTCTTTTTTTTTTAGAGTTCGCTTTTGAAGTTAGAAAAGGACAAAAATTGGAAGTTTGCAGGGAAATTTAAATTTCCTTCCAGAGACCAAAATGTTGAGTTTACACAAACTGAAAATGTTATGATCAAAATCATGTGGGGAGCAGTTCTTAGTAAAATTGTAAATTTTCAAACTGTTTACCAAGAAAATAAGGTAACAGGTCCTGATATAGATTTTCTGTCAACTATTCAGAAAATTTTTTCCATGTGCAATTTAGTTCTGTGGGGTGGTGTGACTGACACCTTTTGTGAACCAATACCAATGAATTTGTGTATGGGAAATAAATAACAAAGCAAAGGACTGTACAGTTTTGAAATATGATTCTTGATGAAAAAGTGAGATTGCGCAATAAAATCCTTCCCAAAACAAAAATATTAGTGGTGATTTAGATTTTTTTTAATCTCAGGGTATGGCATGTAACAACCACTCTTGCTACCGAGAGGGGGAATGTAGAATGGGTATGTTAGGAATCTTCCAAATGAGCCGACTCGTGACCCACCTCTGTTGAGTTTATCTCTGGGGTTTAAGAATATTTCGAATGCAGTAGGGGCTGTTGCTTACAATATTATTGTGAATACTTCACTTGTATTCGTGATTATGTACTAATGCAGAAAATCATTTGTCAGAAATCATTTTAAGATCAGCCTGATATTTCTCGTACGTTTTTGAAAGTGTGTATGGTTTTGAGAAGGTAAATAACGAGGTGAATCCAAGCAATTGTAAATTTTAGCTGAAGCATCAACAACTCAAGGGTAATGCACCTGTCAATCGTAATCCCAGCCCCGGGAGTAGCGGGGGTTTATTAGCGGGGAAGATAAAACAGGGCCAGTGTTATAGTCCCCGTAATGTACCCGGCCAGCACCCTTTTTTCCCTGCTTATCCCCAGACCCGGTATGCTGGGCGTCATTGTGGTAACCCCGCGCAATCCTGGACCTGGCGTGCCGGGCGTTGTCACCAATCCCTCCACCGTCCCGTCAACAGCATGCGGAGCATGTGACGTAACAACCGCACAACGCCAGCATGCGCAGATTACAAATTTGCAGTCCTCTATATGTACACAGTAGTATAAAACGTTACCCACCTGAGGAACAGGTGACAAATCGTACTAGTACCACACAGTGGATGTGACATTTATACACTTAATACGAACCCGGAAAGTGCGGCCCATTCCTGCAGAGGTACTTTAAATTGTTTTGTTGACCTTGCCGTTTTGAAATACTCAACTGGCTTGTTTTTCTTTCAGCACTATTCCAGGAAGGCTTTTTCACGGCCCTATTTTCTCTCGTCGTTCAGTGTCCAAACAGAGTGCGGGGAAGGGCTAATTGACTTGCACTTTGCACAGATTGTAGTGAAGGAAATGCGTCCTCAAGCGCGAGCTCGATCGCTGAACGAGTATGCTGGAGAAAAGCCACCAGTTGGAGAATCGACCAGGCCATAATGCATCCCTCTTGTTCTAAATGTGCAAAACATTTGCATAACCATTTCTAAAGTTCCCGCCCAAACGTTAATTAAGAGGGTGATAGCAGTGTGGCCCGCAGGGTGTTACGCAATATCTTCATTCACAGACGTTGGTTTGTATCCTCACACTGGGTAATTCCCAACTTCACAAGGTAGTCTTTTCATTCAGTACCACGTGGTCGCCAAGCGGCACAATGCGCGAAATTTGAAGTATCTGCTTAAACACGCTGAACAGGTGATCGTGCACAGGCCTGCCGTGCATTGTGTTAAAACTGCGCGCCTCTGAATGCAGGCTAGCTAGCCAGGCTTAGTGCATTTCGTTTCCAGTCCATACTCCTCTCGCAGGTTTTCTCCGGGTACTCCAGTTTCCTCCTGCCTCTAAAACTGGACTTTCTTCCTAACTCTGTAATGTGATTCTGATATGAATAAACCTATAGATATTGGTGCAAATAGCCCGAGTAGCTGAAAGTACCATTAAAACAAAACAACAGGTGGCTCAGCAGTCGTGATTTGAACCTGCATGTTGCTGGTCGTGATGTTCGAGGCTTATGGGTGTGTGTGTGGATGGAGAATAGATAGTGAATCGGTGCGGGTGAGCTATTAGCGAAATATATCACCTTTCCCAAAACGTGTTACAGATAACAGATATGTTCACTCTGAGAATGTGTTGCAGCTTTTAGGGATACAGTCAGAAAAGTCAGAAACCTGCCGTCATTACTAATACAGTAAGATGTATCGAATCAAACGCAGAAAAAAATGGCACGTCAACTGTTTTCTTGCATTGTAACAAAAGCATGGGAAAAATGTTGCATCCTGTTTGCGATTTTGCAATTTAGGGTTTTTAGTCATGCTGTGGGAGAACTACTTGATAGTGATTTAGTTCAGTTTTTAGTAATCCCACAGGGGCATGCAACTATTTTGGTGTCTTAGTCTTTTCATAAGGTTTGAATGCTATATTTAAACTTTGTCTTTTTCATGTCTTTACTTTGTTTTATTTATTGTAAATTCGACCTGCGAAATAATGAATGAAATGAATTGAAATTTCCCAACAACATCGGTAAATGTTTCTCAGTCCAGAATTCGTGTCTTTCAAGCATTTCTGTTTCTGTAACTTTTATTGAGATGATATATGATGAGAAAAGTGAAGTCTTAAACAAAGCATGTCTTAAACTTCTACCGATGCTAGTGGGAAGTCATTGTTTTTAATTCATATGCCGTTTATGCTCAACGTCAAGGGCGAAATTACATTCATAACGTCGTGGGCACGTCATTCTCTTGTAATGTACATTTCACATAACGAGATTGCATAAGAATAATTCATACCGTAACCAAGCCTTTTTTATTGGCTTTCGCAAAATTTCATTGCCTTCATTAATATATTGAAAGCAAGAAATATTCCAAGAGCCAAAGGTAACAGGGAAATTGCTGAGGCATTCGCATACAAAAACATGAATTTTCAGACAAGTCTAGTGGGGCTCGTGCACAGAGCGTAACCGTGTATCTAAACAGTCATGCAAAGTGAGTAGCACCGATGTGTTGCGAGCTAGCCAATTGGCTCGTCGACAGGAAACACTGAGAATATCCAAGTCTGGGATGCAAATCCACGGCGTGCTCCAACCCTAACGCCAGAGCCCAAGTATAGGTGAAGAGGCGCAAGATGGTGTTAATTGGCTTGCAATAGCCAACAACATATGACCAGCGGATGTATTCAACAAGCCATATCTGGCCCCTTACATCCCCGGAGGGAGTATTTAAGGGACTACTGGTTTCCGATTTCTTTTCGGTAAGAGCTCCATCAGCAGATGTCACTAATTTCTCCCTTAAGTGGTATATCAAGCACCAGAAAATGATAACATGTCCTAAAGTGTCACAAAAGGAGCATGCAGCACTGCTTGGTATGCAAGTTGAGTAGTTTTTCTTTCTTTGGCGGGTATCAGGGGTAGCTCTTGCTACCCTCAGGAGGTGATCGGCCCTGCCCTTGCGAGATTCACGTTTGTCCTGTTAACTGTTGTCTGCGTTTTGTGACTGGTTCGTGTATGTTCTTCTTTTGTCCGTCATTCCCTTCAAATTGTTTTGTCGTGTTACTAACTTTTCCTTTAGTCTGTTTTTTTTTCAGATACTGACTGGATGCGCGACTGCCTGGCTGAATGGATGTGCGACTGCCTGGAGTGCAAGTTGAGTAGTTTTTCTTTGTTTGGCGGGTAGCAGTGGTAGCTCTTGCTACCCTCAGGCGGTGATCGGTCCTGCCTTTGCGAGATCACGTTTGTCCTGTTAACTGTTGTCTGCGTTTTGTGACTGATTCGTATATGGGCTTGTTTTGTCCGATGAGTTCTTTTGTTTGTATCGATCGTTTCCGGATTGCCACATGTACCGTCTGCACGTGCATGTCAACGTATAAGCCCCCTCCAGATCGATGCTCACTTCCTGAGTGCCTAGTCAGCATTCCGCGCCCTGCAGCATGACATCATTCAATATGACTCATCCTCTTTTTTTTCATCGTTTTCCATCAAGTTGTGCAATCTTTGCCATAGACAAGGTCAAACTATGCCCGAATTTTTTACCCTTCCCTTCTTCCATACATCCACATTTCCACTGGTTGCGCAATTCTTCCTTTACAAAAGGTCAAACTTAACCGGAGCTCAAAGCTTCACCCGACACTTATGCCATATCCATACATTCCCTCTCGTTGTACACTCGTTTCCAGCATAAAAGGTCAAACTGTGCCAGAATTTGCACCTATATACCCTCATTCATATTCATAAATCATACGTGACCTCTTCATATTTATTTCGAAAAGGTCAACTACTTTACATAATTATCTATGAAATAGTAGATGGTTGAAGCAAGCCTTCGGTCTTTACGTGTGGTAGATTTACATGCACAACTCTGCAGTTAGCAACAAATGTGACGTGGCAAGTGTTTTCACTTGTGCACAGATAGGGCCTATGCAAATTGAACTTCAACGTTTGCAACCAAAAGTACACGAATCAGTCATCACGAATAACCTCCCTGAGCCCCATTAACTCACCAAACGGATGAGAAGTTCCCCCACGACCACCACAAGCTCAAAATCATGGCCTTTGTTATCCCCACTATCTGATTGGCGAACCGCTGATCACAAGTCATTGCAATATTCGCGTTATTCACTTAACATTACACGAAACTACACGAAAACAATAGTGAAATCTAGGTAAAAGATATCCCACCCCGGGGCCCTGGTTAAAAAGGGGGAGAGGGTACATTTCCCCGTCCTCCTTTATTTTACGCCCTTGACGGTGGTTACCATCCTTGGTCTGAGTACTTGCACGTGCATGGATTGCCCCATGTGCTTCCCCTGGGGGCCCTTTCTTATGAAAAGAACACAATCTATGAACAAGCATTAATTCATTTGCTTTATTTATTTGGATATGAGCGCCAACACAGGCATGTCTTCCTCTCAGATATAGACAATGCACAGCTTTTCACATTCAGTTAGAATTTGGTGGCATCAGCTGCGCACGAGCTGCTCTTGGTGAAATTTAACCGTGCTTGGTTTACTGTCGTTGATGGACCACACACACAGCAAACCTTTATCGAATGTTTTGCTAATGTTCAGAATTCCTCGTTATCAGGTACATATCATTAACAAATTGCAATCACTTATAGCATAATTCGACCACCAGAATTAGAAGCCATTACTGCGGTGGCACAACGCTCGCCACAGGTACGTGTGCGTATGGCATGCCTTTTCAACCAACAGGGTGGCGTGATTTACCATATGCACGCGCGCGTCAAGCTAAAGAATGTGCGTGTGAGTGCGGTGCCACCGCAGTTATGGCAAAGATTGTATACTGAGCGCCGCGCAGCG